AAACATGTTAAAGGTTATTCGAGTAAAAAAAGTGAGAATGGACGACCAGTGTCAGCGATCTCCTTTGGCGTTACCATAGGAGTTCTATACCCACGACATAATATTTGGTTTGAGCTATATTTATAACTCATTTTAAGCAAGCACATCATCGCAGTCCCACCAAGGTTCTAGTGGGAGTAGAGTCGGGCTAATTCAATATCAAGGCATGATCGAACCAATGCTCTAGAAGAACCAAGGTACCTTAAGGCCAATGAGCCATTCGGTAATTCAAACATATGATCAGAGGGTCTCAAACTACTTGGTAGTAAGCCCTATACCTTTAGACCGATTACCGTTTTGGTGGAGGAACCTTTATTTTACTATACGAGGTAGTGAGTTAAAATTATTAGCAAAAAAATTAAATGTTACAAAGACTTTTACATATAGGTACCATGTGTCGAGCGTCAGCGCTGACTAAAAAAATTCACCGAATTTTTAATGAAAATTTGATGAAATTACTTATACTGTGGTTAGAGAAGAGCACAGTACTTAGAATTCATGACAAATGAAAATAAAGGGGTCAATTATGATATCTCTTGAAGTGTAGGGATCGGAAGTGTAATCTCTTTACACTGTGTTTTATTTCTTCCTTGTTTGCAATAAGTTTTACCATATGAGAAAAATATATAAATCCCCAGTAACTGAATACATGCAAGGCAGGACCATCAAAAAGTTTTGCAAGGATAACCACAAAAAATTGAGATATTTGTCCAGTCGGTCACTAATCCCATCAACCAAACACAAAAGAAAAAAACCTTTCAATCGTAAGATAAAGTAGTCCATTATTTTGAAAATAGATTATTGGGACAGCATAGTATTGGCATCTTCTTTACATATTGTCTTCTCAACGGATCTATCAAGTAAGATGTGAACGAGAGAATTGATCGTACCTCAAGATCATGAAATGTCATTTCGTACATCATATTAAGCCACGCATCTTACAAATAATATGAGAGTATAATAGATAAAAAAAAGAAGATGGAAATGTGATTGAAAAATTAATGTTTCAATACTATGGGTATAACTTCTTCGTGTCTCATGGTAGTGTATAATTGGTATATAACAATTGTCCGTCTTAAGTTTTATTGCATGTAGACAATATCACAGTTTTTGTCCAACTTTTCAATTGTGTTTTTCGGTATTAAATGTTCTTTTAAGTAATTTGAACCAGTCACAGTGACTAAACTTTGCTAAATTATGCTAATTATCGCGCAAGCAACCGCTAGGACTCTGTATGTTACTGTTAATATTTTTTTAATAGAACTAAACTATGCCCGTGCAATGCTTTTCTTTGCTATTTGTTTTACTTCTTATGACCTATATCTTGCATGCTTGGATAATTAAATGCATGATGCATATGGATTTAATGTGCAGTCTTTGATTTGTCAAAAGTTAATGCTTCACCTACCTATTGCTTGACCTTACTATTATAGCTAATTCACATGTAACTAGACAAGTGGATCAAGTAAAAATACTCACAAAAATAATAATGCTAAATTATTTCAAAGTTACAATTTCCATTACACAGGCATGAATTTTACTAATTGAAGTTGCCAATTAATTATTGCCCATTGAAAAATGTATTTCCCCTTAAAATTGATCTCCACTATGGAAATTACATAATAATGCTAGGAAATTCTTTTTTATAAAACAATGAATAATCTATCTAATCAATAAAGAATTAATGCATAGGAAAATATTACAATGGATGATTAATATTATCCTAAAATTCCTCAGAAGCAAGGATTAGTGGTTTCTTGCCCGATGGTTATGTTCTATTCAAACCTCACGAGTACGCATATAACAAATTAGAGAGTTTTGTGGAAGAGTCTGTAATAATATATTTATATAGATGTATATATAAGTAACGGCCTGCACACTTTCTATACCACGTGCAACACTATACTTTCATAATCCACCGTTCTAAAAAGTTGTTTGTCAGCATGCGCAATAATTCAGCCCACTGAGTTGTGTTTTCTACTATTTGCTACTTTCCGCTTTGCTTTTACTCAGGTCTGCCATTTCGGCTTGTATCATTGTAGTCTTTGTCGGCCATTACTTGGGCCTGTATGATTGAGTCTATAACGGCAGCTTACAAGATGGCTCTCCACAATCGAACACCACCCATCTGCCCGTCTTTCCAACCATCTGCGTAGTCCATTTTTCGATCTCTTATCTCGGAAAGAATTTATGGATTTCGCAACTTCTCTTTTACAACTCGTCAACAATTTATGGGGCTTGGCCAGAAGACCTTTGGGCTACATTTGTCATCTGAAAGATAATGTCAACTCGTTGCGGAACACAACTGGCGAGCTGAAGGCCAAGAGCGAACATGTGCTGGCAAGGGTGGAAGGTGAAGAAAGAGGAGGAGGTGTGCGGCGCACAGGAGAAGTGGCGTACTGGTTAGACACGGTGCAAAAACTTGTTGGTCAAGTAGATCAAATTCTTCGAGAAGCCGGTGAATGTGATCAAATTAAATGTCTCAGCCGTTGTCTTCCATCGAATTGCTGGTCGAGTTGTAAATTGGGGAAAAGAGTCGATCAAATGCTCAATGAAGTGAGAGAGCTCCAAGCTAGGGAATTCGGAGTTGTGACGTTGACGTCGCCTCCTCCTCCGGTGCTTGAGATGCCTATGGACGAGACCGTGGGGCTTGACATTTCCAAGTTTAATGAAGTGTGGAAATGGGTAGTGGACGAAAAACAAGTAGGAGTAATTGGGTTGTCCGGAATGGGCGGTGTTGGAAAGACCGCCCTCATGAGAAGGATCGAGAAGGAGCTTTCGCGTGCAAATAACGGATTCGATGTTGTTATTTGGGTGGTGGTGTCCCAGCCGGTGAATAAAGATAGAATTCAAGACACCATAAGGAGAAGGCTGGGCATTGAAGATGAGCGTTGGGAACGATGGTCCTGGGAAGAGAGGGTCTATCATATGTGCCAAGTTTTGACCCGGAAGAAGTTTGTGTTGTTGCTTGATGATCTATGGGCGAGGCTAGACCTTTCCAAAATCGGAGTTCCTTGTCCTGGTCTCGAGAACGGATCCAAAGTAGTGCTCACAACTCGGTTGAAGCATGTATGCGACCACATGGGAGCGGACAAAACCTTGGAAGTACAGTGCTTGACGCACAGAGAAGCTTTGAAATTATTCGAGAAGAACGTCGGCAAATCGCTTGTAGATTGTCATCAAGAAATTCAAGACCTTGCAGATAACATTGCCGAAGAGTGCAAAGGGTTGCCACTAGCCCTTATTACTGTCGGGCGAGCCATGGCCAGAAAAGATAGTCCTCGTGAGTGGAGGCATGCGCTAACAACGCTGAGGAACAGACCGCACAAGTTGCAAGGTATGGTTGAGGAAGTGTACGACATACTAGAGTTCAGTTATAATAGCTTAGATGACTCTACTCGACAAGCTTGCTTCCTGTACTGTTGTCTCTTCCCGGAGGATTACCCTATAAATACGAACCAGCTTATTGAACTCTGGATTGGAGAGGGCTTGCTAGGAGACACCAATGATGTATACAGTATGCGGGACGAGGGAGAGTCTGTTTTGGGGGATTTAAATAGGGCTTGTCTATTGGAAAGTGGGCGTGATGGTGATCGACAGTATGTAAAGATGCACGACGTCATCCGTGACATGGCGACCTGGATCGCTCGTGACCGTGGGCAAAGGGAGAACAAGTTGCTAGTGATAGAGAAAGACGAAGAAATGTTCGCAAAGATGATCTCCAAATGGGGGGAAGCGGAGAAAGTATCTATACGGGGAGAATGGATTCAGAACATCGACCAAACACCATCCAGGTATTCCCAGCTTGAAACTTTGTTTGTAAGGGAAACAAGAGTGACGGTCGTGCCAAGTGGATTTTTCGACTCGATGACGGCTTGTCTGGCGGTCCTAAACCTGTCCAACAACGAACATATCAAGTCATTCCCCGAAGGGATTTGCAATCTAATTAATCTACGGTACTTGAACTTGTCGGGCACCAGAATTAGTGAATTACCCAAAGAAATTAAGAACTTGACTTGTTTACAGTGGTTGCTACTAGACTACATGTTGGAGGACATCTTAATTCCGATAGGGGCAATCACAAGCTTACCGTTGAATGTGTTCAGCCAGTGGGTGACTTATCAGGGTTGTGGTGGATGTTTCTCGCAATCGGGTCAAGTGAAGGAAGAAGAGATGGTAGAGGAACTAGGGTGCATACAACATCTCACCGACTTATCTATTTGCGTATGCGAGTCTTCCTCTGCTCAGAAAATATTTCAATCCCCGAATTTACGGAAACGCATAAGGAGAGCGCGTATCGATAATAAGAATGGTAACTTGACCAGCATCATAATAACTTACTCATCAGCAGGCATTGACGGTTTCTCGCATTTAGAGACACTTTATCTACTTGAGAGTATCAACCTGAGTGAGATGAAGATAACTCAAGGAATAGGACAAGCGCCAAACCACTTTTGTTTCCCCAATCTCGTTGAAGTTGTGGTCAATGGCTGCGGGCTTTCGGACTTGTCCTGGCTCGTGCACGCTCCGGAGCTCCGGCAACTGGAGGTCAAAGGCTGCGAATCGATGGAGAAAATCATTGGGGATGGATTTGCAAGGGAGGAATTAGTTGCTTCTGGACTTTTCTCACGTCTCGAATCCCTAATACTCGGCTGTCTTCCAGAACTAACGAGCATTTGTGACCAGGCTCTATCCTTTCCCCAGGGGGTACGCTTCCACATATGGGGGTGCCCTCGTCTCAGAAAGTTGCCATTGGACTCGAGCAGCGCGAGGGGAAGCTTCCAAGTCAAGGGGCACAGACGCTGGTGGGCCGAGTTTGAGTGGGACCCCACCGCCCAGGTCACTTTGCAGTTGGACGACCGGGGCCCTGCAGAAGAAATGACATTCAGACATGCGGCGCGTAAAGTGAAAGACGAAACCTGTTACTGGGCCAATATTGGATTCCTACCTAGTGGGGGGCCGAGTGAGTGAGTGAGTTGAGGCTGATAAGTTTAATATTGTTTTTTTTATAATTAAAAAAAAGGCGGCTTCGTTTGTCTTTTCATAGTTATTGCTAACAAGCTGGAGGAATATGCTGCTATTTGCTGTCCCAATTTTTTGACTTATGATGAAGTTTGATATGCAATCAAACGTTGGAGAGAGCATTGATCTGTACATATTAGCATCCTCAATAGCGTCGTCCTAATGTGTTGTTCAAACATATAGCAGTTTCTTTCTTCAAAGTTTATTTGTTAGGTAGTATTACCTGTACTTTCCATAAGAGAAGAAAAAAGACCGGAGGTGTCCCAACTTCCAAGATGTCATGGGTCTTAGTAATGAAGTTATTGTATTGTGCAACTGCTGTTTAGCTGGTTCCTTACATGTTATTTCTACGTCAAAGATATTGGTGTTAGTCGCTGAATTGGTTTAACTTCTGTAGGAAGGCAAAGGAGGTGATGAAGATACTGAAGAAGCTGCCTGGGGAATAAAGATCCAAAAATACGGCTTCTGACCCTCTGTGTCAGTATCATGCTCTGCTTTCTTATTTGTGGATAGTTCTGGATCAAGTTGCTCTCTTCTTTTCTTTCTTCTAAATGGCTACAAGAGGCGGCTATCACTTGGCTAAAATATTTGGTTATCACTCTGTACCCCATGATTGACTTTTATTCTGAATTTGTTCATTTGTGAGATTGTCATTTGCTGTTTCTACATGCTCTGTGCAGCCAGATTTTAATACGATGGGGAAGTTATTGACGTTGATAGATACATGGCAAGAAGCTGTAGGGGGACCAAGAGGAAGGTATCCTCAATATTATTATGCATACAATGAGTTGAAGGTAGCCTCAGAGATCTTTCTACCGATTCATTTGTCTCGACTTCTAGTATGACCCTATGTTGCTTTTTCTCAATATGATTCCTCTATTACCATTGACAGACTGCTGGGGTTCGCTTTCCACCCCGAGAAGAAAAGAGTACCATTTTTCACTCCGCCCCGATCTCATGGAGTTCATTCTACCTCAGCATTCAGTAGTCCTGAACTTAACATAAGCATATCATTGTCTGTTCAAATCTTTTTGCAGCTGTTGGTGATATGAGTCCGTGTACTTAGCTTGCTTGGAAACTTCCATTAAAAGATGAACTTAATTGGAGGGCCTTAATTTTCTAGCTAGCATTATATCCCTCAGAAAGCATATCATTGTCTGTTGAGTTGATGATTAGTTTTGCTGAAATTGATCTAACGGGGCATAGTTTAGATCTTAAGCTTGGTATATGGGTGTGACAAAGAGGATGCAATAGGTTCTCATAGTAGTAAGAACTCGAATTGATCTCCCCTTTTAGTAAGTTCTATGTCGCTTCAGCACCCTTTTGTGGGAGGATGGCTTTTTTGAAATCGGATGTACATTACTCCTTTTTTATAAATTGTGATGCAATGTTACAGGCACCGTTAGTGGGTTTGGGTATGTTGAGGATGCCGTGCTGTTTGCACCGGTAGATGAACGAAGTATCTCATTGAATGAGCCTTGGAAGGCCGCCTCTTTCGATGAGTCTCTTAAAGACTGTTGCAAGTACCTGTCGTTTGTTCTGATTTTGTTGGAAATTGTGTGGGGAGTTTCTCAAAATCGATCCCCCACCATCTCGGTGCTATAATTGGAAGAAGCAATAGCCGGTTTGGGCAATTCGGAGTAGGAAAATCTTATGACATTACACCTTTCAAGCATGATTCCGGATTGGTTCTCACTCACTTCGTGTTTTTATTCGAGGGAGGGACTCATGTAATTAAGGGTTATATACTTCCTTTTTGCTTAGAGTGTATGGGGATTACTTGTGATGAAATTCGTCTTCCAAGAGGATCTTGTGCCTGCTTTTACATGAGTCAGCAGCTTCTAGGTGCCTTCCTCTCTTTTACTCTCGTGAAAGTATCTGTAATAAAGCAACTATGAAATTGACTTCTTCCATTAGTTCCAAGCTGTTAACTTCTGTGGCTTTCAACCCTCTTTAGTCGGTTTATATGATAAGCCACGTTAGTCACGCCTTCCGATTTTTTTTATCCATCATGCTCCTAGGAAATATTGAAATTTATAGTCATCGTTTATGCATGTACAGACACAAGTTCTTAAGAACAATTCCACCGTTCGCCTTGTCAATTGAGATTGGTGTTTTGAGTAATGAATTCCATTGATAAGATCCGTGCCGGACTTGCTACCGGAGCTTAGAATTGGAACTTTCCAGCAATCTCTATGGAAACCAACTGCTTGCTTGCAAAAGCAGTAAAAGCGTGAATTGCTTATGTTGTTTAAATGAGGTTCCCACTTAAATTGGCACAACTGAAAGATTTAGAACTGAATTGAGAAATCGTCATATGGTTTAAGACTAAATTGGCCAAATTGAAAGATTTAGGACTGAATTGGCACAAGTGCCATAGGTATAGAACTTTCGTAGTAATTTCCCCCTAATGATTGAGTTGTGATCGAGACATCAATTGCTAGGCCCAGCATGGTAGAGAATATTTACCAGTTGTTTTGCATTTACTTTGTGGAATGGTTGTTATTTTATCATCGCAACAAGGCCAATTATATAAAAACTCTAAAAAATATCTTCAACCTAGCATGAGTCTTGTTATTTTGTCAATACATGTTGAATTCAAACAATTTTCACTCGAAAGCCCAAATCTTACTAAAATAAGATGATTAATTATGCCACGCTTTGATTTAATTATTTTATCGACAAAAATATTAGGTTGCCTTTCTAATTTAATTTGAGAAGACTAGTTTTAAAGCACGTGCTACACGGGTGCCAAAAAAACGAAGTTTAATCAACTTGATTTCATTAATTCGTTTGATAATTTGGGATTGTGAGAAAGTAAATGAAAAGACGAGGAAAGCCACTACGGGAGCAATTTCAATGAATGTGAATAGATGAGTAAAGGTTTAGTAGCTGTCTCTGCCTTCAATTCATTTACAAATTTCTCTTTCAAATCGTATTACATCAAGCTCGATTAAACTAGGAGGAGACTGCCTTCCAAATCTCATGAAATCATTATGGGAACAAAACGAACGAAATGGTTCTCCATCATCTATTTCATGTAACGTTTTGATATGTTGTCTTGTTAACAAGATTGTAAACATGTTTTTACTTTACTCTAATCCTCATAACACCCAATGAAATTGCGATCAAATCCTAAATACCGTCTCTCTCTCTCTCTCTACCTTGGTTGCGTTTACAATTAGCTTCCTTTCTAGCAAAGTTTGGCGTCTCCTCCACCGTAATTGAACCGATCAATGCGGTTGCCCCTAGATGTGGAGGCTCGACAGTCGTGCTTCCAAATTTATAGGCATTTGGCCTTCAAAGACCACCTTGTTGATACTGAGAAGATGGAGAGAGAGAGAGACCACCATTAAGAGGCCGTGCCGTACTGGTGGTGCTTGGACATCGTGCGGCGCCCTGACATGGTCAATGTTTCGTGGTGCCTCTAGCTACCACAATTGTTGCACTCCACTGTCATGCCTCGTCCCCATCTTATTTGTCTCTCTCTCACCACCCGCCAGGCTTGGTGCAAACAACGTCAGGGCAACTCACTCAGGCAGTGGCCCCAGACGCGGGCCAGGGTCTTCCGAGGTGGGGCAACCTCCAATCTGGTGTCGCAGCCTAATTTGACCACACGCACGCACAGAGAAAGTCGAGGATGAAAAGAGGGAAAAGGAAAAAGGGGAAGGAAAAAAAAACAGGAAAGATGTATCGATTTTACAATGAATAAATTTAGTATTAAAATTTATTAATAATTCTTAAAGGGATCTCACTCCTTTTTCATAAGGCGTGTGTCTAATTCATCACATTATGGACGGGACAGCAAATACAAGTAGGTCGAGGGTTGATGGATTCGTATCCAACAACAATCGTGCATCTATTCTTTGGAAGAAGAGTCGCCGGATTAACTACCTCCAACTAATTCGTGATGATATTTTATGCATATGACATGCGAGGTCGAGACAGTGCCATGCCATGTATCCACGCTGAAGAATTTGCAACAAATAAACTGGAGATCACCATTGCCAATCTCTAGTTCACATGTCTTCTGCTAACGCGTACAAGGAAAAGTATAAATGAATTGTCTGACAATTATATGGCGTCCAATTAATCTTGGACATTGACTTGAGAAAGTATTCAACTGATGATGGTCGTGATGCGTCCACTAAGCCCATCCAAATAAAATCGTTATGTCAGTTTTCAGTACAATTGTACAATGATGCCTGTTTACAAAATTATGCGATTATTTGCATAGGGAATCTTATACACGCAATGTTCATTTCTTAAAAACTAAAATATCATCACGTGATTATACTTTATGAATTTAACGTTAGCGGATTCTCCTATGAAGAACATATCGAATCTCCTATGAGAAGTATTCGGTGCATCCGAATGGACGTCATTGCAAATGGCCCTATGTGCTCCTGGTGCACTTAATAATTTTCCACTTGATAAGGCTCAAGTAGAATATGTTTAGAGGAAGACCGACAATTCGTACATCATACAAGAAGTAGTCGAGGTCTACAGAGACTCTCTCCAGCACCCTTTGGAGCTGGCTCTATTAAAGAGTTCCAACCATGCAGAAACCGAATTTAAAGTGGCACATCCCATGAAATGCTGGTAATTCGTATTTTCGTGTTGAACTTAAAATTATGCCATATGTTGTAGCATCGTCGAAAAACTTTGTGCTTTTGTTGAAATATTATGTATTTTAAAATCTTGTCATTTTTAGATTTGACAATATTTGTTTTCATAAACTTGTCAAAACCCATGTCAATTGATGTCAAATTGAATCCTAAGACTAGTCTTGTCTACTTAAAACGAGAATTAAAACAAAAAAGAATATATGATCACGCCGTAATAACTATTATTATAAGCAAACATTTTAATAGACAATCAACCTGTAAGAGGCCTATCGTGTAATAGTCATTACTGCAATCAAACACATTGTAAGTTTTAGAAGAAGTTTGATGAAGTACATGTATGGTTTGTAACTAATAACC